AATATAAAAAGTAGAAACAGTTGTCATAAGAAAAGGAGAGATACATTTGAGTTAAAAATGTGATAATTAAACTGATATAAAATGATAAAATGTTGATTAATAAGATTGGTAGCTATAAATATATGAGTAGATAAAATTGTATTTTGTAGAAAAATATAATAATTATCATGTTTATTTTTTAATTGTGTCAAACTAAAAATTCATTCTCAAAGTCATTTTGCACTATCTATTACATCAAACAAGAAAAAAAAAATCCTCTACCGAAAAAAAAAAAACCTTCTTTTCAGTCGTGACCCCCCTTTCTTCTGCCTTAGATTTGCAGCAACCAAGTCGCAATCCTCGAATCCGGCCATGGGTGAGATAGGAGTCGCTCTATGCCGACTCTTGTCGCGCCGCCGCTTTGTCATTTCGTCTTCCATCTTGTGTCGGTCGGAGGTCGAATGTTTGGCCTCTCGTTCATTAGATCCCTTCAAGAAGCGCGACTTCCGACCCGAGTGCTCATGATTGGTTTCTTCCGGCGCAACTCTTTGAGCCCGACCTCTTCGGGCCTCTTCTTCCCCCGTTTGGCATCTTCGAGAGCTTAGTTCTGAACTGAGAAGCTTTCTAATTGCTGTTTTAGTCGGAGTTTTGAGTGTTGGGGTCGATTTTTGTAGGCTTTAGTGGTGTTGCTCGTGGGGTTGGTTTATTGTGGTTTGGCTTGTGTGTTGGGCTAGATTTTTGTTGCAGGTTTGTCGCGTGGATTAGGGAAGGTAGTATTTTTAGTTAATTCAGGTGTGTGTTTTGTTAGTTTTTGTGCCATTCGTTCGAGTTAGCTATTCCCCTCATGTGGGAGTGTTAGTTTTAGCTTTTGTTTGGATGTGATTCCCAATAAACTGGGTTCAACTTAAAAAAAGATGCTGGGGGTGCATGGACCTTATTCTAGTAGTTTATTTTGTTTGTCTAGAGTGCCCTGTCACCATTCTTCCTGAGTCCGCCTTTGAGATATAAAATATATCGTTTCGATTAAAAAATAATAATTATTCTTCAACTGAAAAATTTATTCTCAAACTCAAAAGAATATTTATTTCTGCACCAACTTTAAAATCTCTATCTATCTATCTCTCTCTCTCTCTCTATATATATATATATATAAAGATTTGTATTTATTAAAAATAATTATGATTTCCCGCCAAAAAAATATTTTGATACTAAAATAAATAATTTTTTTGACATTCTTTTGTATTTTTTTTTTCTATATCATTTTAGCAATTATTTTGTTACCATCCACAGTGAGACTTTTACTTTTATTTGAAGTAATGTGATATCACTAATTAATAAAAAATCTATTGATTATATTTTTCATAGTTATTCAATCAATTAACTTATTTCTACTTAATCTATTTTTATTTATAATTTTGATGGTGTGATATCAATATTTTAAGATTAAAATTTTAAAAAATTTACACTCAATTATCCAATTTCTACAAAATCTAGAACTTTATTTGATTTGAAAACTATAAATAAACGGACATGGTTATAGATTAATCACTCCAAGAATAACTATTTGTAAATTAGAAATAAACTATAAGTTTTAAAGTATTTCTCAAAATGACTAGATTTATTAGTTTCAATATCGTTGTATGTTTTTTTTTTCTTTTTAAATTTTTATAAAGTATTAATGTCATTTTCTTTTTAAAATATAATATAATTTTTATTTGTTATTTATTTATTATATATAGGTTAAGAACATTAGTTTACAATGTTTGATTTGATATCTATTATAGATAAATAAAAAATAATTATTTCTAGAGTATTATTAAGTTTTTTAGTAAATATTTCACATATAAAATGAACTTACTTTTATTGTTTAATAGTTATTTAAAAATAAAACAATATTTAGTATAAAATAATCTGAAAAAATAATTGGTATGTTTATCCTTCATGGGAATAAGAAAATTCATGTTAATAGAATATAAAAATATAAGTAAATAATTAGTTGGATGATCAAGTATATATTATTTTAAAATGATAAACCAAAAGGTCATGGTCAAGTATATATTATTTTAAAAGATAAACCAAAGAGTAATTTATCAAACTGCCACATAAATTATTAGATTATAAATAATTAAAATACTTATAATATTTATTATTATAAATTATGATGAGTTATTTGTTTAACTGCCATGAAAATATAACTTAAATAATTATAAATTATGATGAGTTATTTGTTTATCTGCCATGAAAATATAACTTAAATATTTCACTTATACTATTATGGAATGACTAATAAAGATTGTGTATATCGTAATAATAAGAATAAATGTTTTTTTTTTCTTTCAACTATGCAAAAATGATTAAAAAAAAAATAGTGGGACAAATATTTGAAACATCTCTAAGGGGTGATTGTTTACGCATTGTACAGTACAAAAACTAATTCAAACTCAAATTTAACACAACTTTAACTCAACTCCATTATTTTCAATATTATTAATATAATAAAATAATATCAACCAATCATTTTTACACATCACATCAACTTTAATTTAGTATTCATCCACTCACATAATTTTAACTAACTATCACTTCCAATCATTTTCTCTTACTTTTACATCAAATCAACTTTAATTATTTTATTTTAAATACTATTTTAATATATCCACTAACAACTAACCATAATCACCCCCTATATCTCTATGAGACTGATGTAGATATTTTGTCATGTCCACCACCACGCTGGAACGGAAGTTAAATAGACCAATTGTAATATTATTATGAGACTGATGTAGATATTTTGTCATGTCCACCACCACGCTGGAACGGGAGTTAAATAGACCAATTGTAATATTATTAAGACACGTCAACATACCGTGTTTTTTTCAAGCTGGATTTTGAAGTTTCGACAATAACTGTCCTACTTTTGACTCCAATAGTGAAACACTCCTATATTTAGGGGACTGATTTTGATATTTCCGCCCTTTTCTCCAAGAAGCAATGTGACCTGCATTCATATATACTTGTGGATCAACTCCGTCCTGAATATCCTCCCAACCATCACCAAAACACAATAATCAATTATGCTAAAGAACATTTTCTTATTCCAACCGAAACCTTTGTTTTGAATCATTCACATATAACTGTTTCAGACACCTTATAGTCTAGGAACATAAATCCACCATTTTCATAGATGCAAAAGCAAATAAATAGATAACAAGAATCCCACTCTTCTCACAAGTCCTCACAGATCTATTCAAAGTCGAGTCGATTCAAAGGTCCAAGGAAAGCATTTTCGACAAGTTCATAGTTCAAAAAACTACACTTAGAGCTATCCGAGAGATCATATAAAAACCCATAAACAGCCAAATCTCTCTCTAGAAGCCCACTACTCATCTTCCCTGCCCAGAAAGAGCAAATTCCAAGATAACGCCGGCAATAAAACATTTATCACATAATACATAGATAGACAGATAGACAGATGGATAGAAGATAAGCCTCAATAGTCTTTTTGCCACTTCCTCCCTACACATGACTCCTCAAGTCCTCGTTCTCTTTGGTTAACATTTCAACCTGAGACTGAAGAATGTTGATCATTGCTTGGGCCCGCATCACCTCAATCTTCAACGTCTCGCGCTCCATTGAAACATTTAATATCTCATTCTCCAAATTGCTGATGAATTTCAAGTAACCGGGCGGCACAGATTTCTCCAGGTTCGATGAATCAAACGTGAGGGCATTCACCGGATTACTGTTACTATTTTTATTATTTTTACTAATAATGTTATTATTATTATTATTTTCCTTAGGCTCTATGGGTTCTAACAAGGGGAATTCTAGTAGCTTGCAGGAAAAATTTGTCGTCATCATCATTTGGTCTTGGCTGGTTGTGGTGGACTCCTCTGATCCATTTGCATGGCTCGAGTTGGGATCATCTTGCTTTGACTTTGACCGTTTGGATTGGGATAGGGAGAGGGGCTCGATTTCATGGTCTTCAGATCTTTCCCTCTTGCATGCAAACGGGAGGCTGTGGGACCCGATTTGATTGTTGTCAATCTGTGGAGGAGCAATGGTGAGGGGCGGAGAGCCCTGCTATTGCAAAATTCAAATGTCATGGTTAAATGTAAAATTTATGTTTTGAATAAACAACAATGAAAAAAAAAAAAACAGTATGAGGATTATTGGAAGAAGAGATTGGATCACACATTCGTTCAGCAAATTGCACTTTCATAAGAAAGACAGAAAGAAAGATTCAGGATATCATGCCAACCGAATTGTGAGACACATCACATGTACAAATGAAATCCAACTATTGTTGCAGCATATCTTAAAAGGCATTAGACTACAGCAGACTGTATATATTATCCAACACTATACTACTAATTACGAAATATGCATATCTTTTAGTCTTCAAAACACATCCTATTCTATCAAATGCAAATGCTATATACCTTCTTCCATGATAAGATACTTCATCAAGGCTAAACTATAAAGGTTGTGTTTAGTAAGCATATAAACTAGCTTATAAACTTCATGTATTCAAATAAGTTTGGTATTGTCGGACGAGCTTTTTAGCATATCTCATAAGTTTTTTTGGGTAGCTTTTCAAATAAGCCCATTGAAATTTATGTCAGCTAATTTTACCAAACATTTTTATCATATAAGCTAGTTTTTCAGCCATAAGTCATAAACTATTAGCTATAAGTTCGAAATTCACTTAAAATCTAGCGATAAGCTAGCTTATCGGCTAGGTTTACCAAATATAGCCAAAGTAACTACGCATTTAACACGAAATACTCTAGATAGCCGTCACATCATATGAGCGAATTCACACCAATGTGGCGATAGCCCCCATACGGCAAGTAATCTCTCATACACCTATCTGAGGCTGGAACAAGATGATAATCACAGGTTGAGCTGGAACAATTTGCAAGACTAATCAATAAGATATCAATTCAAAAATAGTTCCTGTTAGAATACACATTATATAATAGCACAAGTTTATCTGAACATATTTTCGCATGCATTCATTGTAGAAACATGACAGATTACGTAGTTTCACCACAACAAAGCAACCTGAAAAATCACAGCATTTTCTTGCATCCAACAAAGATAGACAACAAAAATAGAAATAGGACATTCAAGTTTCCACTGTAATGGAAAATATTATATTTGTTTTAAATAGCCAGGGAATAGTTTTTGCAAACTTGCAAATAAAGCTCACAATACATTCTTCGCAACTTAGGGTGTACAGTGTACCGGATAAAATTACTTAAGTCCTATTTTTACTTGTTCTGACTAAACCAAAGATGAAAAAATTGCTGCACGATGAAGCTTCTATATTCATCAAATCACTTCCTACTTCTTTTAAAACATAACATGAACAAATTTATCGAACGAATTACTTGCCCCAAAAAAAATTTACCCAACAAACTGAATCAGACTGAATATATTTATATTTAAAATAAAAAAAGGATGCTCATATATGTCGAACCTGATCAATATCAGTGCACTCAACTCGAACCTCATCCCCATTGGCAACATCATCTTCAACGTCTCCTCCAGGAACTAAAAGTGCTGCATCCTCATCCCATTCCTCCTCAACAAAAGGCGCATAACGGTCCCCATTAGGAGGCCCTAAACCACTCTTTTGAAAGATTCTGCAAAGCACAAATGCATCCTATTTCCTCGCAAATAAAAAAAAAAAAAGAAAAAAAAAGGAATTTTCCCACTTCAATTTCGTCACTGAACATAACTTAGCTCCAAAGAAAACAAAACGAAAAATGAGTACCGCTAAGACGGAGGAAAGGGGATTCCCGTAGTAGCGGCTAACAAAGCGGGGTTATCTAGGGGAAAAAAAATTATCATCCAACAAACCTGAGTAACACCTGCACTTTCCAATTCGGAATCACAAAGCCGATATTCATGCATCACCCAATTTGTTCTCTTGCCATCTGGGGCTCGCCCGCTATGAAAAACGAGCGTTTTCTTCATTCCTATTGTCTGGCTCTTGTGGCGCACAGCTCTATCTTTCCCAGTTGCTTTCCAGTATCCTTTTCCGGTGGCGCGATTAAGCCGGGACCCATTGCCATACTTCCGGTCGACTGGGCTAAAAAAGTACCACTCCAGATCTCTCGTCTTTAGAGATGAATATTCTTTTTTTTTTTTTTNGAAATACAACATGAGACTAGTAAGTTGGAAAGTAGGAACCACATACAAAAAAAAAAGCCAATTTAAAAAGGTGTAACAACCAGAAGGGCAACATCTAGGACTTCAATTGTGGAAAGAGAGCGAGAGAGAAAGATGATCTTTAGCTCATTCATTATTTTTGACACCTGTAAACCAACCATTCCATTTTCATGACACTACAATTCTTAGAATTTGGAACCAGTAATACCAAAAAGTTGTAATCTTTACAGCAGCAAACTAATTTACACATTATACCAGCAAACTGAAACTGGATTTCCACACAGGACCAAGCTATGTCAGATAAAAAGGAGAACAAAGCTCACCAGCAAAACCCACCACAGAATAACAAAGTGAAGTTCAAATAAACATCATTAAGGAAAAAAGAAAGATCACATCTGGAAAAATTATAGTGAGGCAGCAAACGCATCAAACAACCAAAAGATAAAATAGATTTTCTGCACACACACAAACAATTTATAAAATTTCTTCTAAACAAACAACCAAAAGATATAGATTCTCTGTACACACGGCAACAATTAATAAATTTTATTCTAAATTAAACTTGAGCGTTTACAAAAAATTATATATTCACATACCAGCAAGCTCCCAAGGCTCAGATTTGTACACATCAATTTCAGTCACAGCTTGAAACCGAAAAGGCTTCCTACAAGCTTTCCTCCTCAAATAATACCTTACCAACTCCTCATCCGTAGGATGAAATCTAAAACCCGGCGCTAGAGATGTCGGCGGCGGCGCTCCCAACCCAGCCGGCGCCACCACCACTACCTCCTGTCCCATTTCGATATAGATTCACAATCGAAGAAACAAAAACCCAACCGATTCAAGGTACCCCAGAAAGAAAAATCAACGTATCAACTGAAAACCCGGAAAAAGAAAAAAAATGAATCTTGCGGGAAAAATTAACAGGGAAAGGTGGGTTATGAGAAAGATTAGAAGGCAAGCAAAGGGTATAATTGAGACGAAAAGATGGAATTGTGGATGAGAGGGTTTGGGGCTAGGTTTTTGCCCATGGGTTAAGAAATGGTGGGAGTGTGGTGTCTGATATGGATGCTTGCTTGACACGGAAATCGAAAATCAATGAAAAGGAAAAGGAAGCAAGTGTGTGTGGTAGGCTTAGCTGTTTATCATTGCCTTTTTATTTTTTTCGCTGATTATCTCTTATGATTTTATTTGGAATACACAGAAAATGACCTGTGAAAATAAATGTAGAGATCCTTGATTTAGAAATAGCGTAATGTGAAACAAAATAAGTAAAATGTTTTATCATTGCTTTTTCTTTTTTCACTAATTATCTCTTAATTTTTTTTATTTTTTTTTCAATGCGCATCCCGAGCGATGCGCGAACGAACTTGTTACTTAAAATATTTTTCAAAACTTTATTTTAAACATAATTATTTATATTTAACATCTTATTATTGCAAGAAAAGAAATACAAAAGAGGAGAAGTATATATTATTTAATTGAATATAATGAGTGTCTCCAACTAAACAAATGACATCCAACACATGATATATGATAAATTAATCATATAAATTGTCATGCTTTCTAAATATATATATATATATATATATATATATATATTTAATAAAAATATTTTTGTTTTGATTGGATTTTTGATTTGGGTTGGTTAAATTTGAAAAAGTTGGTATGGTTAGTTGTAAGTGTTATATTAAAATAATATTTAAATAAAATGATTAAAATTAAATTGATGTAAAAGTAGGAGAGAGAATAAGTGATGTGATTGTTAGTTAAAATTATGTGAGTTGATGAATAGTGGATTAAGGTTGATGTTGTGTGTAAGAATGATTGGTTGATATTATTTAATTATACTGATAATATTGATGATAGTGGGGTTGAGTTAAAGTTGAGTTAGAAAAAGCGGTTGAGTTAAAAATGATTGGATTTTTTTGGGTTGAACTTATTTAATTATACTGATAATATTTATGAAAAATTGATGTGTACAAAAAATAGGTACCAAGTCCACATAATATGAGATTTTTCTAAATATTAAAAGATTTTATAGTTAGATAAATATGAAAAAAAAATCATCAATTAAGTTGAACAATTCGATATATAAAAATTAATTTTTGAAATTAACATTATTTATTAAATAAATACAAATTTTTAGTTGTGACCATAAAATATGAGATTTGTATATGGATGAATATGGATAAATATGTGACAAAAAACAACGACCACTCAAATCGCCTAGACGGATCTGGCAAGGAGGTCGTTCTCGATCTAGATTTGGACTCCGAGGAACTTCGACGCTGAGGAAAAGAAGGAGAGCCACCAAGAACACACCGGAGGACTCGATAGGATCAAAGGAGACCCACCCAAGGCTGCTCGCAGCCGCGCTGCCCAGCAGACCAGCGGTGCAGCCGAGCAGCCACAACCTCCAAGGTTCAAAACAAAATTGGCCGACCCGGTTGCGAGCAGCCTTGGGTGGGCCTCCTTGGGTCCTAGTCTCGAGTCCTCCGGTGTGTTCTTGGCTGCTCCCCTCCTTTCCCCGGCGATGAAGTTCCTCGGAGTCCAAATCTAGATCGAGAACGACCTCCCTGCCAGATCCATCTAGGCAATTTGAGTGGTCGTTGTTTTTGGGTTTAGAGTCTAGTTTTGTAGCTTTGTTGGGGTTCATTGTTGTGGTGTGTAACTCGGTTGTTGGTTTAACTGGTCATGCGGTTCAGATTAATGGTTTTCCTCGACTAGGGGCTAGAAGCGGCGGCCAACGACCCCCTCCAAAGCCGAGGAGCTAGGCGGGGAGGCGAGACCCACCACCTGACGATTTCTCTTAGGGTTTTTTCAATGGAAATTTGTATCTAAATATTAACCAATAACTTTTTTTTTTAATTCAAAATCTAACTCAAATTTAACTCATTCACATTCACCTCAATATTATTAATATAATTAAATAATACTAATCAATCATCCTCATACATCCACTCACATAATTTTTACTACAAATCACTTACAATCATATATCTCCTACTTTTAAGTACTATTTTAATACAAAATCAAAATCTCACTCAAATCTAACCCAACCAACTTTTTCAAAATTAATCATGTTTAATAAAAAAAATTCAATCAAATTTATATTCAAGCACCCTCTTATGTTTTTATTGGAATTGGTAAGGGGTAGGTTGTATATAAAACAATGAGTTTTGATTTGTTTAACTTTTTTTTGGTTAACCATGATTAATTTTAAAAAAAGTTGGTTGAGTTAGGTTTGAGTACGATTTTGAGTTTTATTACAATAATATTTAAAATAAAATAATTAAAGTTGATTTAATGTAAAAGTAGAAGAGAGATGATTGGAAGTGATTGGGTGATTGAAATCATGACTGTCAAAATCGGACCTGACCGACCGATTAAACTAAGAACCGGTCAGTTGTTGGCCTGGTTCGCTTGAATGAACCTCTTGGCAGCACTAGTAAAAAACCCGTCAATGACCGGTTGAACCGACCGGTCAAACCGATTTGAACCATTCCAATTTTTTTAAAAATAAATTTTATTATATATAAAAATATATTTAATATAAATAAAATAATTTTAATATAAATAAAAATAATTATTAATCAAATCTCTGCGTATTTGTCGCCTATCTATCACATAATTTATCACATAATATGTCTGCACTTGCTCAACTATCTTAGTCAGTTTATCGCATAATTTATCGCATAATGAAGTCGTACTTGCTCAATTATCTTCTTTTTTTTATTAAATAATAATTATGCAAGTAATAATGGCAGATTATGAATTTACCAACTATGTAATTACAAATAAATTATCTTCGATTAGTTATGCATATAACGTTGCCTAAACATCGCATATTTTCATAGAGAGATAAAAGAAATGGTTATGTGGATCACAAGTTGATGCATTTTGAATAAAGAAAGAAATAAAATAGTTCGGCGATTCAATATTGGTATCTCTTTGGCAGTCTGTCGTAGTGTATCTGAAACGTTTCTACAATCTTTTTTCCTTTTCTTTTGGATGAAACAATAACTATGCGAAACATATATGTCAGAAAAGATGTCGAGTAAGAATACGAATTTACCGAAAATAAAGTATCAAATAAATTAATATGTGATTAATTATGCGTATAAAATTTCGCCATATAATTGCATAAATTTACAAAACGAAACTGTTAAAAATAAACTGATCTACGACTAAAATGCGACAGACCCGCGACTAACTGAACTGTTCACCTTGATCTCTGCATATATACTTCGTCTATATGTCACATAATTTATTCCATGATGTTTACATATTTGTTCAATTATTTTTGCATTTATGTTGCATAGTTTATCACATATTTATTTTTCACTTCCTTAATTAACTTCACCTGGTTGTCGCACAATTCATCGCATATTTTTTTCGAACTTTCTCATTAACTCGCATTTAAGAGGTTGTGTTTTTGACATTTGCTAAATCAAACTTGTTTAATTAGTATACCAGATTAAATTCTAAAAAAAAACATGTGTGTTTATTTTATAAAATATTTATACACTATTTAATTTTAAATTTATTTACATAATTTATATTAATTACATAAATAAATAATACTAACGTGCACTAAATATTTTTCATTATATAAAACAAAAAGAAAAAGAAGACGTACAACTTTCATAATTTTTATAAATAATAATGACATTATATAACAACAAGGTTTATAATAAAATAATAATCAATTATTATATAGTGAACAAGAATAAGTAAAACTGTTGTTTTTTCTTATATCAAAGAATAAATATATATACTAAAATCAAATTTATATTCGTATAAATGTGTTAGTGAGATAATATATTAATTATTTTACAAGATATCCCTAACATGCTCATACTTAATGTTGTAGCTAAAAAACGATGATTAAAAGAGGTAAAAAATAGATTATAATCCTATTATTTTTTAGACTTAAAATTAAAATATATAGAAAATAAATGATAATCCTTGTTGATTTTTAGACGGACAGAGTCATCTTATATCTATGTTCGGTGCATTGTACGAGGTATACTAGTTTATTTATAAACCATGGAGTGATTAATAAGGATTTGAAAAGTTGGTGAATTTTTAATATGACATTGCTACTTTACATTGTTTATCTTGAAAGCAAGAAATCAAATTTGACCCTCATCCTGCCCGTATTAGATATCCCCTTATAATCTTTCTTGCAACTTTAAAAAGTTGAATTGGTCAAATTAAGCAGCATTTCCTGACTTTACTTGCGAAACAAACAAAAATTAATAAGCTTTTGCATGTGGAAATAAATTAATATGGCACATAAATAGAAGTGCACCTAGCTCACGGGTACAATTCTCTTAAAGGAAATGACTTTATAGCACATGATGGATATTTACAAAGTTGTTGCAACACATGAAAGACTTTTTTTTTTTTTTTTCTTCAAACCATCAAATTCTATGGAGTTAAAACTCAAGCAAGAGTACACCGGGTGCCTAAGTAGGTACAAAGTCCAATCATTACAACACAAAGAAAGCACGAAGAGAAACAAGAAATGAAATTACATACAATTTCCTTCAAGTCATTTTGGCTAACTTCAAACTTTCTATACAAACACTAGCTACATTCCCCATGAGCCGAAGTGGCGTCCATTATCAGGAACTTGACCAGCTTGACTCTCCTTAGGCCTGACCTTCCCAGAATGACCGACAAATGCAACTCTCCTAATTGTGCGCCACACTTAGGTTGAACATGTATAGGGCTGTATGGACTGGCGGCAAACTGACTTTGAGTTCCATTTACTTAAGGCACTGCAGAAAGACGATGTCCACCAAACTGTCTGTATCGATGAACACCTTCTAGACCTCGTAACCAGCAACCTAGGCCGTTATCGCGAGGGCGTCGTTATGCGGGTAAGAGGTACCTTTAACGTCCTCTGCTCCAAACTTCAGAATCGCGTCAGGTTGTTGGGTCTGTATTTCTGACACTTCTCTGAAGACCTCCTTCCCTAGATAGGTTCTCTTTCGTCATTATGGGAGTTCCTATCAGTAAGTTCCGCTGAAATCATCTAGATAACACCTCTTATGGGCGGCTTTTCCTCTAGTTCCTCTGTCTTCATACACATATCTCTGAGGCATCGTTAATGGGGGTGTCTACTGATGGTACTTGAACCCCAGCTTGGATCTATCATTCGA